TAGCTCGATTTTTACAAACTTTTCCAATTCCCGAATAGCTTTGAACCCTGGCCTGAATTTAAACTTGCATTAAGGTTTTTCAAATTATAATCCGTATGTTTTCCGTGTTCGGATAACCGTGCATTTCTCTATGATACTGAGAGGAGACTCTATGTGGTTCATAAATTTAACAATGGATTTGGGCCGTGTTGTGATCTATAAAATCCACATTGTTGAATGCAGAGACAATGCTATGTGGATGGGCATTTCACGGTATTAAATATCTCATAATTAGAAATCTATCAAAACTGAATTAAACACTTCCTTCGAGTACTAAATTGGAAGAAGTCGTTGTGTGATACTAAATGAATAAAGTAATGACTATTTTTGCATGATTTCTATAAGGGCATCGAAGGCCGATGAAAAAATTTGTGCTACCGAAGTGGTCGTTTTTTACGGACGGTGGTGTTTGCATGAGGCCGGAAAGAAGTTCATTCGAACGCCGACATCCTGAGGTGACAGAAATATTATATAATTATGCTGCAAGATGATAAATTTTACAAGGAAAATGTTGCTTGATGTGGTGAGGATTATAATGTTGGTTTTAATGGCGTTGGATCTTTCGCTGATATATGCAGTAAGGGTGGACGCATTTGTGATGTGTGTTGATCGGGAAGAGGCCGTGGTCCGTGTGCTAATAATTCAGTATTAAGAACAACGCTGATTTTAAGGATATTCGCTGTATAAACGCAGTATTTGGCAGATTTCATTTTGCTGTTCCCGGGAGTTGAGATGACCTTGGTGATGAATAATGGTTTAGCTGGGATAATGGAAATGTAACTGGGATTTAAACGACGACAATGGTTAGGTGGAGGACGGAGGGAGGGATGTTGATGTTGATGATGATGATGATGATGATGTGATGATGATGAAGAAGAAGAAGAAGAAGAAGAAGATGATGATGATGATGATGATGATGATGATGATGATGATGATGATGATGATGGCGGCATTGATGTTCATATAGTTCGTCGTAAGTACATTGAAAAGACCGTCTGCCGCACCCTTCGCAGTCCCGCACTGTTAAAACGTTTTCCGTAAACAGATATGTTACTGGCAAACATTTAGTAAGATGTGCATCTAAAATTTATATTGCATGTACCCTTTTAAATAGGGTCATCAAGGGCATTGCCTATTACCCCAAACGTGTGCCGACTTCAGGCTTCACCTCGATAACACACTTGCAGGACTACTCGCCGGCTTCAGGCGGCGGGTGCGTGTTGACCACGCCAGACGCCTTCACCGCCCACGCGTCTCAATGCCGC